ACATCTTTCTGTTATGCTAACCATAAAATTCATTTCCTGACAAAGTGTGTCTGTATGTATTGAACATTATTTCCCTGAGGCCTGATTAGAGAATGCATGATAGAAAAATAATTGTATCTTCTGCCTTATGGTATTAGGAAACATTGAAATTTGATAATGACCTAAATGCCGGCCAAGTACTGCCTTCAATTCTGCAGAGAACTCTATTTAACAACATTTTCCCTCATTGTAGGTTTGATCAGCGAATTAATACTCACCAATACATAAATGCCTACCATTCCTTTTAAGGAAAACAAACAAATAAACATGTGCAGTCCTTTCAGCCCCTTCCAACAGTAATGAGAATTACTTGTTTTTCCAATTTGTAAATTATTGACTTTAACTGTTACCGCACTTTGTTTTAGAATGTACGCACTGTTCTTGTGGAAGAGCTGCATTTGTACCTAATGCCACCTTTTTGAAGTGATCAGTGATCAGTCTAATAATGTCATTAGGTGACCAGATTAGTAATGCCATCACATTTATTTCATGTGTCCATTGTTCCCTTCCTTGTTGAATCCCTATTCAGGGAACATGCAACATCTTTAGAGAAACGATATCCTCTCTCCATCTCAAATGTTTGATACCTACATTTACAAATGAAAGATAATCATGAGATGAGCATTGCATAGTGGATGGAAGGCTGTCCTTAGAGTCATGAAGCTCTAAGCACAAGGTACCTGGTTCGGGCACAAAAGACCACATCATTTTTCTTCATTCGCTTCTTTCTAAATTCAGTCATTTCTCCACATTTGTCTGTATAAGCCCAATCCCTATCACAGTGTGTATGACCGAATGCTTTGTTCTTGTTAATTGCTTGTTTGACAGCCATACTCATTGTAAGTACCTGATCTTATCTTCCCTTTTTGTTTCATGATGTGCCTTTTATATTTTGTTCATAAATCCATTCTGTATTTCTTATAGAATATAGTTAATAATGTTAATAATGATGATGATAATAATATTTTAGATAACATTTACTCTATGAAAGGTGATATGCTAAGCACTTCACAATTATTTCCTCGTGTGATATTCACACCAATCTTTGGAGGAAGGTTCTATAATTCTGTTGATTTTACATATAAAGAAACTAAGGCAGAGGTTAAAAGACTTGCCCAGGGTGACACAGCTGTTATATATTTTCAGGCTGAATTTTAACTCAGGTCTTTGCAACCTCTGCCCTGATGTTCTATTCTCTGTGTCATCTAGCTACCACTCTAAAAAGTATCAACCTTCATGTAATTTCCTTCAAGATGCTTTGTAGTGCTCCTTGTTTTGTTTTTCAAAAAAGTAGTTCTTATCCAAGAAATTCTTGTTTTCACCTTTATTGAACAGTAGGCTATAAAGTTCAATTCTTTCTGATTATTGCTTATGCAGATTTTTAGAATGAGTTTTATATTCTTTAACTAGTAATTAATGGTCTTGATGGTTTTGACCTTTTGGAAAAATGAAGACTCAGTCATGTAGTCCTTCCTCTTCCCCTTCCATTGCAACATTGGTAACATTCCAGGAATACAGACACTTCCGTTCAGCACTTCCACACCCATCCATGCCTAATATAAACAGTGGAAAAAATAATCTACTCAACAAGGCAATGAGTCCTAGATTATAGATATGGCTACCTGGCTGATCATTACTTCCCAAATTATGCCATGCTCCTGTAAGACAAGCTTGGTATCAGGACACAAGTAATGCCTGTCTGGGCAAAAAAAAAAAATGGAAGCATGGCTAGAAATATAATTTGCTACTCAGATTGGCCTTGTTCTCTATAAGTGGTTAAAATATTTTTTTTGAGCAAATAAACCTTTGTCAATTTTGCTAATTCACACTGATTTTGAAAGTATGAATTTCTCAAATATGTATTTACCATTGAACTTGATTTTAGATTGTAAATTATCTTCAAGTACATGTCTGTAATATTATCCTGGATAATTTATGGTCCAACATATTATTTTACCATAGACCACTGTGTGAGTTATGCATTTGTTGCCATTTTGATATTGTTAGACCCTAGACACAGATGGCTCATTATTATCTCTGTGCTGTACCTCATCCCATGACTGATATTGGCCTTTATGGTCCTGAATCTAATTTTCTGTGAATTCCTTTATGCTACTGTGCACAATCACTGATGAATCTCAGATTTTGGTACTGCCTCATTCACAGGATTCCTCACAATGGCAAATCATCATAATGATCTTGGGGATATTCATTACAAGAATTGTACATTGGTGCACTATCCTAACTGTTGTATCTCCTATAGCCATAACCATTGGTCCTCTCCTATGCTTCAGTTCCAACATTTTAAATAATAAGTTGGACCCCTTTTCAATACAGAATGTGTCCTTCTATACAAACGTGGACTTTTAAAATCCCATTTGTTCATATAGTTTCTTCCTATTTTTATTCCACAGCAGAGATCCCAGAGTCATTGGCTATCTGTGTGATTGTGAGGAGATGAAGCATCATCTATGAGGAGCTTGGTTAGCTTCTCTAAATGGGGCCAAACATTATATTTCTAGGGAGTCATTGAGCTCACAGATATGATAGTAATAAAAAGAAATGATAGTAGTTTTAAAAGACATTTCTCATTATTCTGGCATAGTAAGGATAATCAAGCCAGAATTCTATCCTCAATCCATACCCATGTCACATTGCCCTGCATTTGATAATGATGTATTCAATTTAATCTGGAATCACAAATTACATTTTACATCTCAGTTGCTCACAATTACTAAAAATTGATAGATAAGAAAAAATACATCATCTATATGATTTCAAAATCTTGGATACATTGACAATGATTCCAGTATAGAGTAGGACATAATTGGTTTAGGAATTGAAAATGAAATAGGAAGAGTTGAGTTTGGTAGAATTTGTCTGTTAATACCATGTAACCAAGCAATGTAGAGTTCTCATGTTTGAATTTAAAAGTTCACTGCTCAGTGAGAAGCACATTCAGCTCAGTACCACAATAGCAAATTCAGGCATGTTAACAGGGGTTGATCATGTAAGCACTGGTCCTAAAGGTTGCCAAGATAGTTTAAGATAGACAGATCTTTTATATATCTCAAGTTTTATTTTCTGGCGGACAGGCAATTAGCCCAGTTTCAAGCCTGATCCCTGAAGCCATCTTTGGAAGACTATCACTATCCAGTATCATCTCAAGAAACAGCCTTCTTGGAGATGTAACATTACCTTTTCTTCATTATATTAGGTAGGAACAACTATTGACCAAGAGATGAAATTTGTCCACTATCAAAGTCTTTGACAGTATGATTCAAACTAAGAAAGAAACATGAGAATGACATTAAAGAAGATCCATCATTATATGCTTTGCTGCTATGCATTAAAAACTACAAGCTCTCTCCATTTGACTTACAGCTGAAACCCCATTTATGTATTTTCTCCAACTATTAAGATATGAGCACCTTGTCACAAATGCTTAGCCCAGGGTTTTGTATGGAATAAACATTCCATGATTATATTTTCATCAATTCATCTAAATTGATTTGGGAATCTCAATATCATTTCCAGGGACTGGTCTTCCCTTTTGTCAGTACACTTTGAATCTAGAAGCTCTGAAACCCTTCATACCCTAACCCTGGCTTTCTTTTCCAGTCTTTTTAAACTATGTTTCTTCCCACTCTTTAACCAATGACACTGACCAATTAGCTGATTCACAAACAAGACACTCTATGTCTCAGCTCTGGTCATTCTCTCACCAATTGCCCCTTTCCTGGAACATCCTTCTTCTCTGTTCTGCATATTGACTTCCCTGGCTTCTTTAAATTTCAGTGAAAATTCTACCTTCCATAGGAAGCCTTCTTAACCCCTCTTAATTCAAGAGCTTTCACTCTGATAATTATTTTCCATTTATTTTATATATAACTTGCTTTATGTATATGTTTTCCATATTGTCTCCTCTATTAGATTTCACCTCTTTGAATGTAGAGATTTTGTTCCTGTTTTTTTTTTTATATCCAGCATTTATCTGAGTGTTTGGCACATAGTAGGTGCTTATTAAATATTTATTGATCAGTTGTTGACTTAATGTAGACTTCGAAATGCAGGTGCACTTTTCATTTCTCTTTGAGTAGTTCTAGATCCTAGTGCTTCCCAGCAGCAATCCACTTCCCATTCTTTTTCACTATGACTTTCACAAATATTTTAAATGTGGTACAACACTGGGCTCGATATTGCTGTTCATGTACCACAGTGCCTGATCCAGTGAACATAAGAATATTTGCTAGGGGAATGTGTATTTGATGACGATGATGATGATTATGATGATGATGATGATGGTGAAAATCATAAAGAGGAAGAATAGCAGGAGCATGGATGAGGATGATAAATGATGTGTGACTGTGATAATTATTATGTTTACATTTGTGATTGTGATAATTATGTTTATAATGAGACATTATGCTTCCACACAGCTTATTATGGGAGATAAAATATAGAATGTTGAAATTATAATCAGGGATACTTGGTTTCAACCTTGTGCCCAATGCTTATAGACTTGATGATTTCAACAATTTATTTAATATTTGTTGAGGCTCAGTTTCTTTATTTGTAAAATGGGGTTAAACTATCATAAGGTTCTTGTGAATCTTCAATAAAACAATATTTATGAACTTTATCTACAAATGTCAGATACTATTCTTTCTATCCCATAGAAGAAATCACCAACCAAAGTTAGGATCCCCTAGTGGTGTAGTATATAATGAAATGGATTTATTTTACAGAAATATTTTGTACCACATCCTCTAATAATTCTTTTCAATTAAATGATTCCCTAAAGAAGCATTTACTAATGTGTGACTAAAAAAGTAAATAAGAAACAAATATCATCCTTTGACTTCACATTAAGAGAAATATCAGAGAGTATTTGACAAAGAAACCTATCAGAAACTTATTTGCATATAATAATACAATAGAAAAAAAAAACTTTACATTGGTCATTCCAGAGAAAACTTACATAATTTTTTAAAGACTCTTTTCAAGGCACCTTTCACCTCTTTGTTCCTCATGCTATAGATCAAGGGATTAATCATGGGGATAACCAGAGTGTAAAACACAGAGGCCACCTTGTCTGCGTCAAAGGAGTGGCTAGATTGGGGCTGTAGATACATGAAGAGAAGTGTCCCATAGAACACCGCCACCACTGTGAGGTGAGAGCCACAGGTGGAGAAGGCTTTGTGCCTTCCCTCAGGTGAATTCATCCTGACGATGGTCACAAGAATGAGCATGTAGGAAACCAGGATAATCAAGAGGGAAGAAACCAAATTAAGTGAGGCAAAGACTATATTGATTTGTTCAGCCTCACTTGTGTCTGAGCATGCAATGGACAATAGATGGAGACTGTCACAGTAGAAATATCTTATTATATTTGATTCACAGAAAGATGATGTAAAAGTCTCAGTTGTAATTACCAGACATACCATGATGCTATAGAGGTAAGAGATAGCCACCAAGAGCCAACATACCCTGTCTGACATGATGACCATATAGTAGAGAGGCTTACAGATAGCCACATAGCGGTCATAGGCCATGGCTGATAGGATAAAAAGTTCACTGACAATAAATATCCCAAAGAAAAATAGTTGTACTGCACATGTATGATAAGAAATCATATTTTTCTCCTTTATGAAGCTAACCAACATTTTTGGCCCAATAGCTGAGGAATAACCAAAATCAACAAATGCCAGATGCCTGAGGAAAAAGTACATGGAAGTTTTGAGGTGGGAATCCACACTGGTTAGGATGATCAGGCCCAGGTTTCCAAGTGCTGTGACCATGTAGTTGAGGAAAAACAAAACAAAGAGGGGACACTGCAGCTCAGGATGGTTTGTGATGCCCATGAGAATGAATGCAGTTACCTGGCTCCCTGAGGTTTCATTCAGCTGGATCATTATTTTCATCCAAGGAAAATAATCTGAGAATAAAATAAAAATCCCTTTAAGTACTACTTGCATCAATAATTAGGCAGTTATTTAATACAAATATTCTAGATAGAAATATCATGATCTTTAGCATTAAGTACAATTTATTTTCAACAATTTAGGTATGATAATATCACATAATATTGTATTATATCATATATATCAACATATGAACATTGTGTCATCAAGTGAATAGTGAATGTGGTTTTATTTATAAAATAAAGATTATAAAATTATTTATCTCCAAGTGAAGTGACAAAATAATATTATGAATATATTTTTAAACATTTTAACAAATCAATGGGTCAAAAAATTATAATAGAATCCTGAAGGACAGCAGAGCACATAAGAATACCTTATAGAAAAACTGTGGTGGAATGGACATCAATTAACTTTGAAGCTAAGGAGAGATTGGCTAAAAATATATCCACCACTTTTCCAAATAACACTGTATTGGTCACATGACCTCTTGATTTGGGGGCAATGGTCTTTGACTAGCACTTGCAAAGTGATGGCCCACAACAAGAGATGGAATCTCCTTCTGAGGAGTGCCCTAACCATTAAAGAGAAAGATTCAGGTTCAATTGCTGTCTTTCCCTCTTGCCGTTATTACTTGTGTGACATCCAGGACACTCCATATATCTACTCACTCTCTGTAGGCTCCCTTCTCTTTGCCTTAGCAGAGAGATTTTTTCTTTCTTCCTAGATTAAAGAGATGAGCTAGACATATAATTTTAGTGTTTTAATGGCTTTCATTGCCAGAGATAGGAAAGGACTCTATTAAAAAAGAACATGCTTGTTCTTCAGGTGATGTCCAGTTACATAGCATTAATCTCAAGATCACTGGGATCCCATATATTTTTAGTGATCAATGTCCCTTAACCAAAGCTCTTTGATATGCTTGATTGCAGAAAGCTTCTTTGTCAATTGTCATGACTAGCAGCTTTCATTTGATGGCTTTCCTGTGATCGTTCTAAGCCATTACAATTTGAGTGAATTCACCATATGGCTCCTGAATTTCCCCATTCATCCCAAAAGTGAGTGTAGAGATTTTCTTTTTTTTTTATTATTATTAACTTAGCTGTTTAGATTCTATGTTTTTGACACCTACTTCAATGAGAAGATCACAAAGAATAATCTTACCTGCTTCTCTGGAAGGGTAAATCTTCTGTGGCTTGTTCATAAGATCTGTACCTAGAGTGAGACTTTATGGTTTTCTCAGTCCCCATGAGGTCATGTCTCTGAAGCACTAAAGAAGTTTAATTCATTTCATATGATCATGTCATCAAAATTGCCAGGTCAGTAGTAAGTGATAATGTTACTAGTTTACTTAATTGCAATAAGCATTTAATAAATAACTACCCTGTTCCAGGCTTCTGCTTGTGGGTAATATATCCTGGTTGCATCAAGCCCAAATATTTTGCACGTGCTTGTGAAAGAAGATCATAGCCATGCAGAATGAGTTAGTTTAACATCCATACACTACAAGTCAAGTAGATGAAGAACATCTAGTAGGCAGAATAAAATATAAAGTTGAATGAATAATGAAAAGAGTTTTCCTTTTCAAATGCATCTTTATGACCGATTTGTACAAATAGACTTAGGAATGGGCACCAAAATTAACCAGGGAAAGGTGAGCAGGCTGGATTGCCTTTAGTGCATTAAAATATATATTTTTAGAAGGAGCTGGGTCTTGTAGTGGCTAAAGTTTTGGGTGTGCAATTTAGAAGAACTGTATTTCTAATGTATCCTTATATACTAGCTCTGACTTTCAGCAAGTAAATTACCCTCTTTATGTCTATTTTCCTTCCAGTAAACTAAGAGTGATAATAGCATCAACATGCCAGGATTGTTGAGGATCAAAGGAAATTTTTATCAGAGAACTATATGAGCCAACAGATATGTTTCCAGGCCTAGAGTCAGAAAGAGCTGATTTCAATAGTTGTCACAGATGTACAGGAGCAGTCTGAACCTCATCGTGTATATTATTCTCAGTTCTCCTCACTTTCAAATGCCAATTGTAGCTCTTCCTAGGGGGATTGTTTTGAGGATCAAATGAGATATTATTTGTAAAAAGTTTACCACAGACACTTGCCTATATTAGACATATTAGATATTAAATACATGCACAATCTTGATTACTACTGATTTTTTTCTAAGAGGGCCCATATACATATATACATATATATATTATTTTTCAAAACAAATTAACGCCTTTTTTATTGTAGTTCAAACTTATTTTCCTCATTCTAGCAACTGATCTCACCCACTAAAAAAACAAGAAATGTGATATCCATCATGATTCTGCATAGTGGTCTCAAGATTATCAGGCTTAATGTTATTGCAGCACAGATCCAAGTTCTCCAAAATGGTTGGAGCACTTCACAACTCCAAGGACAATGCACTAGTGTACCTATCTTTCCACATTCCCTCCAATAATTGCCATTTTCCTTTTCTTTCATGACAGCTAATTTGACAGGTGTTAGTTAGCAATTAAGAGTCATTTTAACCTGCTTTTCTCAAATTATTAGTGATTTAAAACACTTTTTCTATGATTATTGATAGCTTTGATTTCCTCATCTTAGAATTGTCTATCCTTCGACACATCCTTTGACTATTAAACAAGTGGGGAAAGGCTCATATATTTTTATAAATTAGAGTCAATTCTATGTATATATTTGAAAATTAAAGCTTTTATCAGAAAAGCTTGAAATAAAAAGGTTTTTTAATGAGTTTATTTCTTTCCATCTAATTTTCAGTGCACTGGTTTTCTTAGTTTAATGGCTTTTTAATTTTCTGTAATCAAGATTACACATTTTTATCTTTTGTGATCTTCTCCATCTCCTGTGTGGTTGAGAAACCTTCCTTTATCCATATATCTGACAAGTCATTTTTCCCTTGCTTCCTTAATTTTCTTATGATATTATCCTTTATGTATAAAACATGGACCCATTTTAAACTTGTATTGGTATGTGGTGTGAGTTTTCAGTCTATGCCTACTTTCTGCCAAACTGCTTTCTAATTTTCTCAGCAATTTTTGGAAATGAGAAGTTCTTATTCTCAAAGCTTGGATGTTTGGATTTGTCAAACATTAGATTACTCTGGTCAGGTACTAGTGTGTATTGTGTACCTATTTCACCTCACTGATGCATCAGTCTATTTCTCAGCCTATCTCAAATTGTTTTGATAATTACTGTTTTATAATATAATTTGAAATCTTGTACCACTAGGCCACCATTTTTCAGTTTTTTATTGATTCCATAGATATCTTTAATCTTTTGTGCCTTGAGAATAATTTTATTATTGTTCATGGCTCTATTGAAAAAAAAAACTTCTTTTGTAGCTTGAATTTCTAAAGACTATTATCATTGCTATTACATTTACTCAGCCTACTGATAAGTCATTAACATTTCTACACTTGCTTACATCTTTCTTTTGTGAGAACTGCCATCTCTTTTGGGCCAGCTAGGTGGCCCAGTGGATTGAGCACTGAGCTTGCAGTCAGTAAGACCAGAGTTCAAGAGCCTCAGTCACTTACTAACTTGGTGATCATGGTCAAGTAATTTAACTCAGTTGCTTTCAGGTTCTTCATCCCTAAAATGAGGTTGAAAAGAAAACACTCCAGTATCTTTACCAAGAAAATCCCAAATGGTGTCATGATGAGTTGGAAATAACTGAACAACAACAAAAATGACAAGCCATCTTTAAAATATCAGAATTTTACAGGAGCAATTGTGCAGAATAGAAGAGTGTCAGAAGAACTTAACTCGTAACACTAGAGGCTGTCCACTTCATTTTGGAACCATTTTAATTTTTTAGTGAATTAGTATAGCTTAGTGGATAGAAGATTGACTTAGTTGAGTGAGAAAAGGAGGCAGTATCCATTCTAGCTCCACAAAGATATATGTAAGTAAGATGCATTCAGTCATTTTTCAGTCATATCTAACTCTTCATGACACCATTTGAATTTTTCTTGGCAAAGATCCTTAATTCATTTGCCATTTCCTCTTCCAGCTCATTTTATAGATTAGGAAACTGAAGCAAACTGGGTTAAGTGACTTACTTAAAGTCACATATTGGAAAAAATGGATTCTTTTTGATTCTAGATCTGGCCTCATATCTACTGTACCACCAGACAACCAAATAGTTAGCCCTAATATATGATAGTGTGGGAGAAGATGCATGACTAACACAATAAAGTTTTCTGACATGGCCTTGTGTCTTTCACCCAATCCATTATATGAAGCAATGGGAACTGATATCCTCTCTGATAAGTAGTTTTTCCACTTATCTCAAATCCTTCTATTTAGGGATCCTGGGGAAGCCATAATGCTGAGCTCATCTGGACTCTCCATTTCATCAATGTTCTTGTTTTTTATGGATCTAGTGTGATAGCTATAGTTTGTCTTTTGGCCCTTAAGGATATTGCTTCATCTGGGCATTATGCATCTGTTGATTGTTCCCAGTAGAAAACAAGTTTCTTTAGGTTAAGGAGTGTTTTACTATTACCTTCTAATACCCAGTACCTATTCCAATCCCCAGAACATACCAGTTACTAAATAAGTGGCCATTAAATAATTGTGAATTAGAAGAGTTTATCAAGAATGAGAAAGGACATATAATAAAAAAAATTAAAATAGGAGAGAAATGAAAAATAAAATACAGAAGACATGGATGGAAGCTCCCAAGAGGCATTATCTCCATTTTATGTATTGATATTCTTTTTTCCCCACCAGATGACCATAATTATAACAGAATTTTATTTTTATCATTATTTCATTTTGATTCCAATTATTAAAGAAAATTCAAGTTTAACACAAAAGAGTTTTAAGTCTTTCTGTTTTCCTAACCATAAAACTCATTTCCAGTAAAAGTGTACCCATATGTATTGAAACATCATTTCCCTGGGGCCTGATTAGAAAAAGCATGATAGCAACATTAATTGTACGTTCTAACTCATTATATTGGAAAGCATTGAG